GTTTAACTTTCACCACCAGATGAAGCATACTGTACATTTGAACATCATTAGAAATGGTAGGTATGTAAATAACAAAACTGTGACACACAAGTCGATGTTTATTTAGAAACATGTGGTTTTTCCTAAATACCTCGCCACCTGTTCTTTCTCCACTTGTCCGTGCCACTAGTCGCATACAAGTTGATTTCTGGAGCGGTGAACCATAATATATACATTTAATATAACAGCTCCTTTATTGTATTGAAATATTGATGATGCATGAAGATATGAGATAGTCCCGCATTTGTGAACACAGACCATTTCTTACTCTGATTCCCTGCTCACCTGAGCTCCTTCAATGACCCCCTGAGCTCTTAAAATCTGTCCCCTTCCCCGTTGCTACCCCTGATTGTTGCTGTCCTCGCCAGTTTCATCTGGTCTCCATGGTCTTACCCTCATTGTTACGGTTTTGCAGTGTGTGTGAGCTAGTCTAGGACCCAAACGCAGGACACCAGAGCTGAGCAAATAAAGTCCAATGATTTATTAACCAATAACAAGCACACTTACAAACAGTGTAAAAAGTAAATCCAAAGAAGGCAAGATGAAACAATAATACACAAGCTGGCAAGGCAGACAGGCACACGAGTCTGAGACGAACACAGGTTACAGAGCATCCGCAAGCTACAAGCAATTAACCACAATGATCCCACACCGACTGAACAGAACACAGGCATAAAGTAGTGAGGCAAACGAGCGGGCGGGAAACGGATGGATCACATCACGGAGAACAGAACAGGAAGCTAAGCTAAACACAGACAGCAAACACAGACAACTTCAAAATAAAACAGGAAGCAAAGTACACGGAAACACACCAGAACAGATCTAGTAAAATACAAAACATGGAAAGACTGCAAAATCAGGGCATAGACTGAGACTGGGACAAACAGGAGACGGGACAACACTAAAACATGGAGACATAAGACTGAGGACTCGAACAGGTAAAAAACATGCAGATAACATAAAAATAAACTAAGCTACAAAACCCTAAACAAGACAAGATCAAATAATGAAACAGAACCATACACAGAACAGGAATAACACTAACATGAACTAAAGCACAGAACTAAGAACTAAGGCACTGGACTAAAACTGAGGCAAAGAACTAAAAATACAGGACTAAGACCTAAGATAAGAGACAAGACGGATACTAAGTAAACCTAACATGCAAATTAATAAAATAATAAACAAGGCTACACAGAGAAACACAGAACCAAAAACGGACTGAAACAGGTTCAACAAAACAAAGAGCAAACATGGGCAAAACAGTAGAACACAGGACATAGAACCAAAACAAGACCAAAATCCTTAACTCATAACTCTCAAAAGACCAGAAACAGGAGAAGGATAGACTTTCATAGTAAGTACCCAAATGATGAAATATATGATTGTACATCTGTACCTGAATAACATACTGCATGTAGCTGGTTATTTTTTTCAAATAGCAATATATTGCAGGAAAAGTATTTTTTTTTACCAAAATGTCATTGACTTGTTGGATAAGCCACTTAATCCTTGTTCAGAATTATGTGCCTTCCCTCCCTGATAGTTGATTATCCAATTTATAATCTGTTGTTATCTAATACCTCCAGCACAGCTGCTGAGATTAACACGACCGCTCTCTGATACAGATCCAACCTTGAGGTTTTAGGTCTCACTGCCCAGTATCAACTCTTACAACAACAAAAAACTCTTACAACACAACTATAATCATACATTTGTCATCTGTCAGTATTGCTTGTTTTGGCTTCATTTGCAATTTCAGGAATTTGTGAGAGGATTGCTTCATACCCGACATTTTTCTACCCTCCGCTGATTTTTAGAAACTTTCTGCAGACAATGAAGATACTTAGAAGTGAGTTTCTAACAGTGACACAGTCTGGGGAGTGTTTCTTTTTCCAAAGGAAGAACTTCTAAAGGGTTTGCCTTGGAAAGAGAAGTTGTTTTCTCTTCCACCCATGCTGTTGCTTCCTGAGTCTTCGGGAGGAAGGAATTCCCTCTAGTGCCGGTTACACACCCTATATCCTTACATGCGTGCACACACACAAACACACACAGGAGCTGGTTACATGCCTCTACAGAAGTGTTGTTCAGAGAGTCCGTAAAGCAGTGAAAAGGCCCTTTCAAATTAGGTCAGATAAGGGGGTCTCCACAGTACCAAATCTACAGTGATTGTCCAGTGGGTTGAAAATGTGTTACCTGTAAATGTAATATGTCTTCTGTAGCCTGTTTTATCTGTTTACCTCCTCTACCAACAAATTCTTCCTCTTTATCATCCCCCAACCCTTCATTATGATGATCAGTGTCTCAACCCATATAAACTTTTTCAAAATGGTCAACATCTGAAAGACTACGGCGGTGCTCGAATAGTCAAGAAAATGACATCCTATGTCTTTTGCTTGACCTCGGTGGAAAACGTTATGTGATCTGGGAAAGATGTGAAGGAGAATTCAGGACTTAGGAAAAAACAACAAGAGAACCAGAATGCACTTAACACTAGACTTTTTTTTAAACCAGCTTTATTTATGTTTCTGATAACACATGGAAGATAAGTACAGTGACAAACTCAGTGCTTTACAGTCACTTACAAATCAAGTAAGGTTTCCTGTACAAAAACAGAATCAACCCTCCTAAGAAAGGATGTTTTCAATTCATACATAGGGTACATTTAACCATCCTTTACTTACAGGAAGTAACAACAAAGCAGATATTGTTGAAAATATAAAACAAAAACAAAACAAATAAATAAATATTAATTTACTAAATTATTTATTAATAAAATAATAAATAATAGTGCCCCAGCAAAAAAGGAATTACACTTACAATATAAAATAATGTAGCAGCCGAAACAGACTTTTACACATTGTTAATAAGATTTAAAAATGGCGGGGGGGATATAAATTCACCTGAAAACAGCAGTAGGAAAATCCCCGGAGGAGATGGATATATAGTGGGGATGCTAAAAGAAAATGTGGAGATAGGTCTGGCTATGCAAGACCAGGGACATAGAAACATAGTCAACATTTATGTATATAGTATTTTGTTATGATGATAATATTGTTAACTGGAAAATCAATATGCTCGGGAAGAAATCTATATGGATTTAGAGCTCATCCAATTATGCATGGATTTCCTGTTTCTGCATTTACGTGTGTCTGCCATGCTGAAACTACAGTGGTGCGTCACTGCCGCAAGGGATTGTGGGATGACATTTTCTCCTTTCCTTTTGTAAAGTGTACCCTATGTTAAAGGAGAAAGCAAGCATTGAAACACCTTTCCTTAGCATTTAGAAATAATTAACCAGTTCTTATCATGGCTGCCACTTAGATACTTCATGGTCATTTTTCAGTTAGGAACCTTCTGGAAAACACCATTTCACCACAATTCACCATAAAGGACACCTATTATGCTTTTCTGTATTTTCTGTCTTATCTTTATTGTTACAATGTCGGGTGGGGGCTTGTTTCAGACAGAGGCTGAAATGAGGTCTGCATGAAGGGCCAGTATAAAAAATATTTCTGAACTTTGAATGATGCAAAGCTGCCATACAGGAGTCACAGAACTGCAATATAGGGCTGGAAATGCAGTTTAATAGATTTCCTTTAAGGCGTATGTATCCCTCAACCAATTTCCCCACCTCACAGCGAGACCCTCATTTCAGTTTCTTATTTGATCTGGTCTTTTTGTTTTTTATCCTCATGGCTTTCACTCTTGTCTCTATTTTACTCCAGCGGGATGTTTAAAGTCATATTTTCCTGAGCTGCAGTCTTTATTAAATTACTTCTCCTGCACTCTGTCGATCTCTCTGCACTGTGTGGCGTTTCATCTTTAGTCTCTGTCCATGTGTGTCTCACTCAGCCATGCATTCCCTTACTCACAGTAGTCCAGTGGGGGGTGGTTTTCACTTGGCTGACCTCGCCCCACCCTCCACACTACCCCACCCTAATCTGGGGGCCCCACTGCGCTCCATTCAACAGGCCAGCAGATGCTTTTCAGATGAATGTAATCAGCCCAAAGCTGTTCATACTCAAAGCTTGGGTGAGTGGAGGATGGGTTAAGGAGCTGGTTGGCCCTGAAATAGTTTTTCTTCCCACACTGCAAACCCTCAGCCTTTGTCTGATACCCAAGCCCTGGCCCAGATAAACTTGACACAGTGCACAGCACATTTTAGAAGTGGTACAAATATACATTTATACATTTGTACAAATATAGTTCTTTTATTAGTCATGTATTGAATTAATCACTGGAGTCTTAAAGAAAGTCTGCTTGAGCATTTCAGAGTTGCTAGTTTTGATTAACATCAGCTCTTCCATCCTGTGTGTATGTGTGTATACATGTGTATATGTATTGTTTGTGACTAAAAAAACTTTATCCGATCACCTAAAAATAAACCGAGTAAGGCCTTTGACAGTACAACAACAACAAAAAAAACTATTCTATAGATCAAAAAAGGTCATACATTGTAGTAAAAACAAACTTCGTGTATAGAGCAGAACATGCTGCTTATTTTGGTTCAAGGAGTCGAAGTTTAAGAGTGCAGTCCGTCTGATGCACATTGCTTTTTTGCTTACATTTGTTTCTGAGAACTCGTAAAAAACAACATATAGGAAACTTGAACCGCTTTGTATCAATTTCTAATTCTGTTCTCCTCTATATCTTCTTCACTCTGTTCACCGCCTCTATGTTTGTCCGTCTGTGCGGCACTGAGCTTGTCTTTTATCAGCTTCTCTCTTTGTGTAAGAATCTGTTTGTGTGTGTGTGTCAGATGACCTATTGAAATCATTGCGGTGCAGTGTGCCTGTTACCACGGTAACGCAGGCTTCTCCGTCTCCCCCCTGTCTCTCCTCCCCTTTCATTTCCCCTCCACACCAGAGCGAGGTCATGTGACCGCACTGACGTCAAACTGGAGAGGCAGGCAGGCAGAGGAACGAATTAGTTTGTGGGCTTTTAGCAAACCTCCTGCTCAGACTGAGGAGTCTGTCAGCCACCGTTAGCTCTGTCTCAGTCACTCAGTTGCTCAGTCGGTCTTCTCCTCCCCCCCCCCCCCACTACAGCTTTTCTTTCTCCCTCTTTCTTGCTCATCTTTGTTTGTCTCTGGTGCTCTTCTTTATTCTCGCCTGTTGCGTCTTCTGCTGCTGCTGCTGCTGCCTCCACAAACTTAGTCTTGAGAGAAAGTGCTGGGTGATGGACTGCTGAACGGCTTGTACTTTGCTACAAAGTGAGGTAAGCTTCCTGTGTTTTCTCTTTGTGTAATATATTGTGTATATTGTGTGCTTCAGCAGCTAGTGGTTGCTTCCAGAGGGGTGTGCAGCAAGTTAAAGCTGAAGGAGAGCTTTCAGTTCATGGGTTTGAGTCTCATACTTGTGCAGAAGGGAAGTTGTTTGTTAGATGAATTCCCTGACAGAGAGTGACTAAGGCCCTGTGTATATTTTGGAAACTGTGCAGAAATGTAGCGTGATGTTTAAGGTTTCAAGGGAGAACAGTGATCAGGGTGTGATCTGGAAGACTAGTTGCTTTCTTTCTCAGCAAACACAGCCAGATCTGTTTTCACCCCCCTGCAGGAAGTGAGTGCACGATCGAAGAGAGAGAAGGAGAGTGTGATTATTACGGGGGCTGAGTGTGTTGTGTAGCTGGAAGTGATGGGCAGCTCCACATGGCTTTTCCTCCCAAAGCGTTGCTAATGTTAGAGGCAGTAGTGTGGGCTGGAGCTGCTGGCTCTGTCTGCCAGAGAGTCAGAGGCGGGGAGGGGGCTGAGCAGCTGCCACCTGCCCCCCTCAGAGGGGATGAGAAAGCCTCAGAGGTATGCACTGCAAAAATGTAACTCTCGCAGTCTCAAGGTGAGCTGTAATATTTTGATTGTCTGATAAAATTAAATAATAGGGTGAGATAAGGGGATTTTTTTTCAGGAATTTTCTTGACAAGTGTCTAGCTTGAGAACCCCATCGTCCCCGCTCCCCGTCGCCTGCACATACACACCCCTAGCTCCCTGCGTGCCTCAAACAATAGCATGCCAGCCCACATTTAGCCCAAACTGGTTGGAAAGAAAGGGAAATGTGCATAACAAGTGGTTTGGGTCTCCCTACCCAGCAGTCCACACTTCATTCATTCTCTCCTCCTCCTCGTTCTGCTTCTCTAGAACTCAATCGCTGTGAGACTTTGTCTCTTCCTCCCCTGCCCTCCCCAGCAGTGCCTCCCTCCACCAACTTAATGAAGTGGAGATGAGCCAAGAGCATGTAACAGGTCTTGTCACTGTCTGAAGTGTCCTAGTTGCAGATATCTACTGACTCCATCCAATTAAATGCTCAGCACTGTACAGAAGATTACAACATAAATTAGCATTTGATGTGCTGATTAGATTGGATTTACAGTTTGGGGTTTTTGTAGAGAAAGGTTGCTGTGACATAATACCTTACATGGCCCATTTGAACAGAAACAGTTTTTATCAGTGAATAACATTAGGTTTGTTAAGGATAAGTCAAATGTACAGTAGACGTTAAGGACTTATTCAGTGCTGGTGATTTTGCACTTATGTATCCTAAATGGTAAATACTCCTGTTTTTATGACCTAAATATAAATGTTTCTTCAGGACACTCGGAAGCAGATTAAGTAATGTAAGTCTTCAACACTCAATAGTTTGTTCAAGCTACTAAACAGTAGTTTTCCTCCAGTGGACGTTGCCGTGTAAAGCAGTTCCAAATGTCTTGTAAGCCTGAGGCTCATTCAGAAGTGTGTTCCTGTTATGAAATGAGCTGCATGAATACCACAAGAGGCCATTTTGAGTTAGAAGACAGAAAAGTAATGTGAAGTCTCTCTTCTGTTTTCATGTCTGTCTAACAAATTAGTACTTTGTGGTTGTGCACAAGCGCATAGTTACATAAAGTTTGTGTGATATGTGTGTATTTGCTGGGTACATTAACAGCAAACAGCCACTTCCACACACACCTCTAGCATGCAGCCAGTGGCTTTATCTGACATCCTGCAGCAGTGGATCATTCTCTTGACGTGCGTGCGTGCGTGCGTGTGTTGAATGTTTTCCAGTAAGAATTTCACTGACAGCATTGTGCAGGAGGTGGACAAATATAAAAATATTTTTTATAATATGATTTTTTAATTTTTTTTTTTTTTTAAATATTTAAAAGTATCTAGTCTCTTTCTAGTATGTTATTTCTTATCTCACCATTTTAATTGTTCTTCTTTCTAAAGGAACAGTATTTGTCTGCTCTGTTGACTTTATTCCTCAGCAGTTTTATAAAGTCAATAAGTTTTTCACCCGCGATTCCGTTTTCACAGCAGCAGGTGAGGCTCGGATGCTGTATGGAAAAGCTTATCAAAACCATCGAAAGTAACGTGTTACCAAATGACATTGCACAGGTGTGTTCACTGTTGCTTCACCTTGTCCTTGCTTGTAAAAAAAAAACAAAATTCACCGTGTCCATGTCTTCTAAGGAAATACCAGATAACATCTCTCTCTCTGTTTTTCTGTGCAGAGTGCTAAAACATTAATATACCTGCGAGCAGTCTGCACATGTAAAGTCTATGTGTGAGAAATGCAGCTTATTTTCCATGCCGACTTTTTGTTTTCCGGTTACTGTCCGGCCAATCGGTGCATCTCTAGTATAATAATCTTGCAGAGTAGGGTTAACATTTAACATTTATTCATTTTAGCTGACGCTTTTATCCAAAGCGACTTACAATTGCTATTTATGTCAGAGGTTGCACACCTCTGGAGCAACTAGTATTGAAACAGCTTTGAAGACTGAATACATGAATCGAGGCGGTGGCAGCTAAAGATGATCACATTTGGCATCTTTTATCTTGGTGCTGTATCAACACGATGGCATGTTTATGTTATGTCATTTAGAAGCTTTTTTTGTTTGTAATTCCAAACCTGTACACAAAGCTGTCTTTACACTTAAAACTTAATAAAGAAGTTCAAAAGTTAACCTGAGGTGGAAACTCTGAGACAGAGTTACACAGTCGCACACAGCATTGAGCAGGTTACTAACCGCTCAACACACACACACCCACATTAGAACAGAGGTAACGGGATGACTGAGTGGGGTGAGTGGGATTTGCTCATTTTGGTCTCTGGCTTTTCTTTGCACACTATGTCTAGTCAGGTCTGGCCTTTTTTCCAACCTCATGTATGGGTCAGATGCTTTGTCTGAAGGTGGCACAACTGCTTTACTGATCAATATCAAAATAATGAATAAGCACTGCTTTATTGCTTTTACACCGCTGTGTTGCATAGGGCTGGGATTGAAACCGTAATGCTGAAGGGTTGAGCTTATTAATATCCTCACAGCAATAAGGCAACATCACAGCAGCAAAAACACACTACATGATTAAAAATGGTGGTCAACTGCGTCCGGTGGCTTAATGGCTAAGACACACATTTATTATCTTTATAATAAGATATTCTAAGATTCTAACAATTATTTTTTAAAAACAGCTGAACGGCTTGGGGAGCACTGTCCTTTGGGGGGGGGGCATTTTGTTGAGACCAACATCAATACTGTAACAACCCAATAAATTATCAGCATCAGTGTTTCATTGTGTTTTAAATACAAGTCTAACTTGATGAGGTAGTTATATCACAGAAAAAGGTAACTTGACTCTCTCCTTCCCTCCCTCCGGACACAGAGACAGGTCTATTTGTATTTGATGTATTTACTCACATCCATTTTCCTGGAGAAAACAGTTTTTAATTCTCCTGCACACAAACTTAGCTGAACTGTGTGAACCAGGGTCGTGTAACATCCTGTTTTGTACTTAAGGGAGTCTCATGTAACACTGGTGGAAACTAACTTGAAGGCAGTTTATGTAACTGTTGATTTATGACCAGAGCCAGAGATGGAGACAGAAACGCAGAGAAACAGAAAGAAATACTTTAAGTGTGAAAGACGCTCATAAGAGATGAGGCAGACACTTGCCCCCTGTGGAGACAGTTAGATGTTTTGCCTGTCTGGATTCCTCTCAGCCTTTTATCAGGTGTTAAATAATAGCTGCTCTAAGTAGTGGAGTATTTGAAAGCCCGGAGACCGTATCAAGGAGTGCAGGGCTCTGTCTTTGATGTATTTAACTGTTATTATTCAGAGAAAGAGATTGTTTCGGATCGTTTCAAATGTCTAGCAGCTCATTAATTCAGTGCCTGTCAAATTGTTAAGGGGTTTTGCCTTTGAAAGCAACAAACGACTGACATTCCATTAACAATCAGCAATTGGCAATTATTGTAAAGTTTACATCAAAGACAGGCTGCGGAGTTTTCATAGTAAAATGATGTTATTTTCTTCTTTTTCCGTTCACCCTGCAGGTGGCAGAACACGAGATGGAAACTGTAAAAGCACCTGCTCATTAAAACATTGCTTCACAGCCCCACTGGTGGTCAAAAACTCCAGAGAGTTTGTTTAATGGAGTGAAAATACAGTTTTGTAGTATACTTTACAGTTTTGTGTAGCATATGGATTTAATTTGAAGTGGAAAATGCTGGCCCTCTCACATAAACACTCACTCAACGAGAGCACCATTCATGTTAGAGTTCCTGGTCTCAAATGGGGGGAAGACAAACTCTACTGGGTGAATGGGATATTATAGTAAAGGTACTTGACACTCTGGGTTTGAGAACTCTGGGAGATCTACTGTACAGTATTGCATTAATATATATTCAGCAGTTGCACTCTGTTAGAGTATATTACACTCAAATCTCAAATTGTCATTATGCAGTGTAAGGAGCAGGTGTGGAACAGACAATGAATGAAGTGTAGAAATGTTGGTCACTGTACTTACTGTGCTTAAGTGGCTGTAACACCTTTCATTACTAAAGTAACTAGAGTTTATACACTACTCAAAAAACATTAAAGAAACATATTTCATGCACTGTTTGTGTGGTTAGTTTAGCTATAGACGAGTTCATGTTTGAATGGAGCGTGAACACAATACCTATATGAAGGGCTGTGTGAACGTGTAAATGTGTGAATGGAAACTGTGTTACTTTCATTAACTAATTATCCACTCTACGGACAGGATGATGTTTTCTGTATAGATTGTGATTGCTGGATATCTCCTGGAGGTTGTTTTTGGATCAGTCTGAGGTTGCCAGAGCATTTCAACTGCTGGAAAATGGTGAAGGGTGGTAGCTCGACGGCTATTACCAGGAGCCTGCAGTGGACAGGATTGTTTGCGTATGACATCACCTCGACAAGATGAGTTATCTCATCACCTT